CGCGTGGACACTCAACGAAGACGTTCGAGGTTAGAAATACTAAGTCTGCAAACAACCCCTGCACTGACTAACAGTCAGATCGTGTCCTTTTTTGACTGTCATTTTTGACTGGCAGACCTAGCATGCATTCTGGAGATTACGTCTCAGGTCCCAGGCTTGTGACCTCTCAGTGGGTGGTTTCGGCCCACACTATTGCGCAAACATATAAACGACAGACACAGGTGAATACTAAACCGTGGTAAGGTCCTTGAGAGAACAGGAACGTCCGTTCATATCGTGGAGTCAGCTACGGAGCAGCTGTCTAGTCCACAAAAATTTTCAGCCGGAACAATGTTTGATGCTAGCGACGGCGACCTTAGGCATTGTTTGGGAATGCGCAATGACATAGATGTCTTTGGCTACTTCCGTGGCAACCATTTGAGGACCCATGTATATTAGGCAAGTACGTTTTGTTAATGAGCCAAAATCTCCAACAGAGCCAGATTTACATCCTTCGTCTTTCATGTAGTAGATTTTGATTAGATACTTCCCAATTTGCCACACTCATGATTCCGTTATTATAATCACACATAATAATACAACAGCCAAAAAACGGGACGTCTGATCCCCATCTGTACAACTTGAAAAATATTTTTCATAATAAACTATTCGTTTTTTATATTTATTTTAACTAACTCATTTGCCTAAGGTTTTTGTTATCATTTCCAAGTTCTTCGATATGCGTTAATGTCGGTATTTTCGCAAATTTCAGTATTTTGCACGATCCGGGTTTCATATGAGTGCTAATGGCGAATGGCTTATGATAAGAAAGAACAACTGAAACCTTATGTTTAGTCCTAGAAAGCGCCAAATAGTATCGTCACCGGAGAACCTTCCAAATTATTACATTTAGCATGTACTGATAACTGCAAGCGTTTTCGACTTAGTAAAGTGACAAATCCAATGGTTTTTCGTGGGGGTGGCCTGGTTAATAAACATAAATGTTCGTAACTTCATATCATGATCACCATCTAGTTCACAATAAATTAAGGAGACTAAGAATGTGATTTGAACATCAAATTAATGGGCCAATGGTTTCGCAAATTTTCCAACCCGTTAAAAATTGTGCTCTTTGTGGTAGGAAGTCCGTATTACTAGTTATCGGCAACATGTACAGCAGTAATAGCACTGAAATCCCTTAAATGTCTCCTGCGCAAAAAGTCTCTCTTAAAGCTTTGAGGTCGACCAATTTTCTAAAAAAGCCGTATTGCCGGTTGTGGTATATGCACAATCTCGGGTAAGAAGTTCGCTTCATTACAATGACATGTACAAAGATGAAAGAAAGAAACAAAAGACAGTTCAAATTAGGACTGTGGTAAAAACACTTCTAAGGGAATCAAACTCTTTTTCGAGGCTACTAACAAAAGATATTTGGACGAATCCTGGTTATTGCTCATTATTTTGGAGTGTTACGATGATTCTTTAGCTACCGCTATTGCCTGTCTTGATGAAGAACATCATTCGCTTATCCATTTGTTAATCTGGGCCTGGCATTTTAATGTAAGTTACCGCAACGAGGGCGCAACACCGGGCAGTTTGGCGGCATTTAATCTGACGCGGCGTTCGCTTTCAATGCTGCCTGTACATAAGTGATAAAAAGCGTTTGACCGGTTTTTAGAAACACCGATGTATTTTTGTCAAAAAGTGCTCAGCAAGTTTAAGAAAAACGCCCATAGAAAACTATATATTTATGTCGTTCTAATTATTATTTATTTTAATTAAGTTTTTAGCTTATTATTTCTTTTTAACACTTTTATTTTAATTTGAGGTTAGTTTAATACATAGTTGAATTAGCTTATTTTTAGTTTGGTTAAGGTTATTTTCAGGTTATTTTTAGTTTATTTTAGATTTTTGTGGTTTATTCACTTCTACTAGTTTAAGTTGAGTTTAAGTTTTTGTTTAGTCTTAGCCGAACCTGAGGTTTTCTGTTGGTGTCGTGATGCTAATTAGGAATTATTACGTCACAATTTTCATCAGATTTGTTTAGGGTGGAATTAATACCTCAAAAACTACTTTTGTATCTCGTAAAACTTTCTAAAGCCTGTCGAACATCGGTCTTTATTTTGCTCAAAACTCAAATCGCGGTTCAAACTTGCCTGGATATATTTCAATCCTGTACATGTATTTTTATGAACTTCATCAATGACATAAAATAATTAAAGCCAAAGTTCTCATTGAATTGTCTTAATAAGCTGGAAGGCGTTATAGCCCTCGTACGAGGTGAATGCTTGCAGTTACGATTTCCCAATTCCTCGTACTGCTTTCGTCATTAGATTTGTTGGTCTAGTCTTTTCAAAATCAGGAAGGAACTAACGGGACCAAATGGACTATGTATTTTGATCGACAAAAACTATGATAGGGAGCTGTGGAATTACCTGCATAAACCTCACGATTTCACATAATTTTCTAATATTTGCTTCCATGGGTGAGTTAGACTTAAGGGGTGTTGCCTCCCCCTATTGAAAGATTATAGTATATCAACTTTAATAAATAGAATTATATGGAATGCTAGTGTTGTCAGAGATGATATATGTGCAACATAAACATTTCGTGAAAATCTTGTGTATGCCTTAATAAATGTGTCATAAATAGACAAAACAGAAGATAAGTGGGCATGTCAGTAGTCGCAAAACCGATTGTCAACTCACATACGTGAGAAAGTAAACGTTAGTTGTCCTTGGTTACATCTTCTCAATGGACAATCAACCATTGTGTTTCCTTCTATTTTTAGCCGACTTATTTCAAACAGGGTGTTTTGGATGTTTTTTGAACGGCTGTATACAACTTTATGCGGGCCTTTGTTTGCAAGTTTATTATTCATGTTTAAAATGTTCATACATGTATCCATCGCTTGTGCGATGTTTTATTAGTGGGGACCCGTAGTAATGAATTACTTGGCCGTTGATTTGCAACCTAGAAACCAAAAGTTAAACAAATTTACGCCATTAATAATAAAAGGCACGTTTACTTCTAATAAAATAAAAATTGCGGATCTTCAGGAAAAAGTATTTACTTTACTAACGTTTTACCGTGGGAGTTGCGCAATAAATGAGACAGTGTCAAATTCGAAACCATCATATTGCCTTGTACGAATACCTCTGCAGTTTATTTCTCTAAGGATTACTGCTCCAACCTCAAAATCATTATCCCGGTCGACAGTAAAACGTACTGTACATTTCTACCAGGTTACAATTTACTTAAATATTGTTTAGACTTTCTGTATAAGGCTTTTTTACAAAAAGTCAAAAGACGTTGTTTTATTTATTTCCAAACCTAGCTTGTTGTCACTAGCTAAAATCGTTTCAGTTCACGATAACGAGCCATGAGTCTGCATTGCACATTTTCACTAATATGGACTGTGAGGATATGATACAAGCAATGTGGTTGGTTCACTTAATACCTGCCCAGATCTGACATAATTGGTGTGCGACATTATTTTGCAACAGCCTTTTACTGACGCGTTCTATGCACCGAAATGCATTTTGGAGGGAGTTCTATATGGGTTAAATATTTAAATATTTATGGCAGCCAGGTTCTGTTCTGGTACACTCTAGGAGGCCCCGAGAGCAAAGTCGGCAGACCTCACAAGAAAGTAACCGTAAAAGCGCGTCCTTATCGGGTTGCGATTGAGGTACTAACGAAACATGCATGTTCGCGTCAGTGCCTTCGTCGCGCACCAGAAAAGAGCCATACCTCAGTCTCCGATATTAAACCTTTTGAGTTAGGATATGTTGTTTTTGTTATCTGTAACAGCTTTTTCCTTTTCTGATGCCATTCCTTCCTTCTGTGTGTATCTATGTCTGCCTTCCACAAAGAGGTTCAGCCATCTTCGATCTCCCTAATGGAAGTTATCTGTACGACACTATAACTGGCATTCGAGTTGGAAAGTTGCGCGTTCCATCCTACGCGAAGGAATTGAGCAAGCTGTCTATCAGGAATCTGCTGAATATATCTCATCAGTTGACAGACATGCTAAAGAGGTGAGTGTCACTCAAGCTGCAGATAAGCTGCGTGTTTTTTAAACTGCTTTTTACTTCACCTCTGAAGGTGGTTGTGTCAACTTCAGTTTTCCCGCAACTGTAAGCCAGTCTGCAAAATAGTGTGTAGCTCCCACATATATGCTTATCGTAACTACTCAATACTTTCACAAAAACTAATTTTTACACCAATGCTTGCGCTTCTGTCCTATAAGTATACAGTAGGAACACTGTTTAATTCAGCATTTATATTCTTTATATTTATGCATTTTTACGAAATACTGTTTAATGCCAGTTGACGTAAATGCTTCCTCCGTTTCACAGGAGGAGTAAGATAACACACCAGCACCATAAATAAAATCACAAACAAATTTCTGTTGCAGCCGTATTTTTCGCCATCTAAGGTACTTGTTCTTTTACTTGATGTGGGCTTGATCATGCTTGATGTAGCCAAACTCGACAAAATCACGGTCTATAACTCTTCCAGCGTTTGTGTTCATTGGCGCAAATCTGATCAGTTCAGTCCGTTCGCTTCTTCAGCGATTGACACCGAAGTTTCAAGAACCGTTTCTATGCTTTGCCCCACCAAATTGAGATAGGTCTTAAACCGATCGGTTCAACGCTTCCAGGTGGGTTGAGCCAGTGCGGACGGTCTCGATTGAGACGGTGTCGGTGTCTTTAGGCAACGGTTTTCAAATACCTGCGGTCTTCGCTCGTCTTCCAGGCGCCAAGTCCAGCATTCACAACCATGAACGTGGACTAGTATAAACAGATCATTGTAGCAAAGGGTTGAGGCGAAATCGTCAGCGGAGTCTAGGTCAATGCAAACGCGTTAGTAAAGATCTGTCTTTTTCTCCGTAAAAATTCAGCTCGAAAGCCTTATTTCCGATCTTGAGGAGTCTAACTAATGAAATTGTTGGCTTAGAGAAATTGGATTGAATATTGACAAATTTTGGAGAGCATTCAAATGGTTCCGTTTAATGCTCGTGCAAATGACAGAAGAGTCTGATCAGATTTATGATATGACTAGCATCTGGAAAACCATTTGTGACACAAACAACCATGTAATGAGGTGACCTTCACAGAGTCAGCGCTGAGATTGTAAAAGTCCAAAGCAGGATGTTGCTTGTTAGCCGTGAGTTAAAGGAAAAAAGAGGACATTTGGGCACATTAACTGAACTCTTGCTAAACCAGATGACACCATAAGTTAATGTAGACCTAAAAGCGGCTCCTCCGTCCGGTTAGAAAATATTAACTCCAATAAGCAGCAGTCATAAAACCGTGACATTATCTTTTACCCTTTCGAACGCCAGTGGTATGTCTGCCGTTGTCTGGCCTGTCGCGCTAAGCAGTCTGCTGTAAACGTCTAACTAAATTGTGCATTCATCCCGTTTGAATACTAGTTTACGCAATCGACATAAACACTCACGAGTGCAACCCGGTTTGTTTGAAAGAAAAATTTGTACTTTTCCCTTATCTTTGATCAGAATGCAAACTGCAGTAGATGTGCCACCTCATGAAATGATTGCCAAAATTCTAACAGGCTTCATTCTCAGCAAGGGTAACTTTGTTCTAGTTGGACAATTTGTTATACTGCAGCGTAATGCGAAGGTATTTCAGATAATTTGGGATGCCGGTCTTTACATGACCTTCTTTTCGGTTACTTTTAAAAACCAAACTCTATAAAATGGTAACCCGTTAGTGCATAATTCCCCCTTAGAAATTCAAATGCGGTCTAGAGAAGAAAACATGCGGTAGAGAATGTGCTTTCTCGTACTCTTTGGGTAGAGAATCGCGTCATATTCCCATTTGGTACTAGCTAAAGGGTTTCCATAGGTTTTAAAAAGCTGCTTCAGTGTCCGAGTAATTTTGAATCCGACTAGTGGTCAGAGTTGTGCTTAAGGTTCGCAAACTGCACGAAACGTACGTTCCCTGTAAACAAATCGTGCTGTTCCACACAATACAAAAGGCAAATCACTGTGTAAGAATTACCAGTTTCTCCTATTTTATGGTGATGGATCAAAGATGGAATGCGAAACGTTAGGCGAAAAACGTTCCTATCCCCAGCGATTGCATTTGCTTCTTCGAAAAACTACTTCCTGGGACCCGCATGTTTACTTGCATTTGGTCTGATAGTTGGTTGCCTGTTCGTGGTCTTTTAGGAGCAATACTGAGCTTGTTTGTGTCGGTATGCGCCCATTCATGATCAAATAAATACCCGATCTGCGGCGACAGATAATGGCAGGTGGCAAGACACCTACCAATTTTGGTTCAGTGAAGTGCTTAGGACCCATTGCTCAACCCCGTCTGCAAAATACTTGCGCCAGATATAGGCACATATTTGTGTTTCCGTTCCCAAATGTTGTTATAAGTTTCGATTGACTGACTGCAGGCAGAAAGGCCCGAGAGAAAGATGTATCCTTTTAACCACATTCTCTTCATCATTCTTATCTGAAATTTGGGCAAGTAAGTAGCCACTTTTCCTGAGTGCTCTTATTGCAGCCGGCCACAAAGAATCTCATTTAAGGTGGGCATTCCAAAGTGAATGAATTATTTTTGGATATCTGTTTCCCATAATTTTGACAATTAATACTTTCGAGTCAAAAACAAATTGTACAATTTCGGTAAACATTTCATGAAGTATATATATGAAGTAAAAGCTGTTTAAATGCGCATTCCATTGGCGCAGTGTGCCTTTGCATGTGGAAGGCCTACACTGTGTCATACCTTACTTTGAGGATCTAATCTGTGGCCGAATCTGGCGATACCCTTTTCGCTCTACGGATGAGCTCTTCGCGCGTCGACCATTTGAAGCGGAAAGAAATTGTTGCATGTTTTCTTTGTCGGTAAACTCGTCATCATGCTTTGTGGGTTTAGTGTTATGGGTGTCCAAATATGTGCATGTATCACTGGGATAGATGTTCCAGCAGTCGAAATTGTAATCATTCCCAGTGCGTATCCAAGTGTTTCCATCACTAACAAAAATATGCAACTTTCCGCGGGTGTCTGGCTTCCTTCACTGCATTGGTTATTAACGTACATGGAAGGGAACCGAGGCCTGAAAACTGCATTAACTTTCGCCACTTTAGATGCCCAACTAACTCTTAAATATGCTACAATCTCAAGGAACATGTGGTTATGGAGTACACAGAAGATTCTATCACTATGTTGCAAAGCAAGAAATTCTCGGGTAACGATACTAATGATTACACAGTTCTCTAAAGGAACTATTATGGATGACCTATAATAGGAAATGGGGCACAGTTAACCCCATGAGTATTAACGCAATTTTGTACGTAGGAGGAAAACTTGGGTGTTAACCTCGATGTCATAATGTGCCATGACATGCAGAAATGAATGACTCATTGTCCCAGTAGCTTTAAATAAATGTAAAACTATACCCTTCTATCGGTCCCAATGCATGCGAGAGGTAGCTAATTTGACCTATAAATTGAATCTACGTATAACGCCGGATGAAGACGCTCTTACTAACACAGGGTAAGAGCCATGGGATTGATGCCCGTAAACTAATGTCATGGCTGCATTGCACTCTTTTTGTTAGCCTGACCGTTTCCATCACTACAGACACGTTACGTTTCCTGTGTTTTTCACCCTAAAATGAATTATCTTGACCGGCATGATAGCTCTACATATGACTTACAGTTAACTGGTGCATAAAAAAGAATATGGCTAACAATTGGCAAGTCGATTATGTGACAGTGAAATAAATTATGCCACGTTCAGGTCTACCACGACACACAATTAATGACAAAGTGGACTGTTTCCAACTGATAAGATAATTCTGTCCATCTCAAAACTGAATCATAACATTTGAATTCATGTATTCCTTAATAATGTAGAGGAAGTGCACCGAGAAGTGCGTAGCGACGCCACTGGATACCTATTCATATCAGTAAACATAATTTTTGATCTGCAAAAAAATAGATGCAATAGTTATTCCTTTACAGTAACTGTACATGTTTGTTGATCATAAGGACGGGATTGTACTAAAATTCTACCTTACGTTGACACTATGCTTTGAAAACCAGCTAGTAGACATTTCATGTAGGCAACCTGAATTTTGTTGGAGGTCTAAGCATCCGGACCCTCAGACGGTCAATGTGACATATTGTTTGCAAAAAAATTTTTGACAGTTCTCAAGTTCTGTGTTATATTAGCTTGCCAGCAGAGGTCACGGAGCTCTGCCTGTAGGAATATAAAACAGCTGCCGGTTGTGCGTGCGCATCATATTTTATGTACGGCTTTTTAGTTAAATAAGAAGTGTGATGAATTTGCTTAAGATTTTTTTTCCTCGTGTTTGGCCAAATCTCACGAATTTCACTTTTAACCGCCCACTTTTTCGTATTTTACCTGACAGTTGCTCCACCAACGGTCAGACGTGCAGTGTGGATGACTTTATTGCCGTGCTCAGCTCTAACCGGCTGTGTTATCGACTACCGATCAACTCGACAGGTTAGTGTACGGGTGTGCTTAAACACTAGGGTTTTATTAATTAGTTCTACTAAAACAATTCCCGGTTAACTAACAAAATCTTCCTGTTCAGTGCACGCTAACCACAAATGTGTGCGTAAAGTCATTTGCACTTGTAGAGGCAAGTAGGTTGGGCAAACGCAAAGACAGGATCATTGAACATTTGCAATAATTACTTTTAAAATATAAGATTAGAATATCAGGTTATTCGATAACAGACCATCCCTTAGACAGTGGTCACGTGGTTGACTCCATTACAGCCTTTCGAGGAAATGCATAGTACACATCTCTCCAGGCATTACACTACTTGAAAGCGTTACACGTTTAAAGATAAAACCTGACACGGGCAAATAGATAAACCATGCTACAAACCTAAACTTACCCCGGTATTCCCCAGTTCTCCGAGTTCTGCATTATGGATATGGTATTTGGTCCTTTTGCCACGTTTATCGCGGTTTTATCTCACCTTTTGCAGCTCTTACGCCGTTTGTTCCGATTTATCTACTTTTTGTTTTATTTTCGATTCTTGGACAACATTTAACCTGGTTTGTTCTCATTACCTGTTATGCTTGATGCCTATTTTTATTGTCGCGAGAAAACGTCTCATTTTAATCAATGCAATATGAGTTAAAGTTTTTAAATTACTTTTCATATAATGTCTGATTTATAGGGGATTTTTCTAATGATATGGGCCACGTGCCTTTTAGATAGCCATATTTGGCTAACTTGCGCACCATTTATTGCTTACGCCAGATTTATGGGCCTGAGTACCATTATCAAAACCCATGGCAACTTATTGCGAGAAAAGTGAAAAATCTGCCTCGGGGGATTTTAAAAATGCAAAATTCCATGTTATTGCGCCAATAGACACCTCCTGTTGGTCCAAAATCAACCTTCTAAAGACTTGCGTGGTCAAAACACTCGGACATTGTATTACGTGGAAACATTCTACGTTCCAGGATAAAACCTGCACACAAAAAATTCTACACCTATTTATAGCCATGTAATCTCCAGTTCTCCGATATATGCATCAATTACAAGACATTTCCTAAACAGCGATCACTGTGTTGACTCCAAAGCAGTCCTTCTAGTATTCGCTCGCGCACAAACAGCCATAATTTTTCGCCAAGTCGTGGGGGAAACCCTACCTATGCAACCAGCAAGGCAACTGGCCAACCTCAAATTGCCCATGTAATCCCAGGACCTTGCATTACTCTCCATCATTTGGTCCGTAATATATTTCCTCGCTTTTTCTTTCCAATACATATTATTTATTGATTATTTTCGTCGGTGATTAGTGGGTATAACGTTCGGTATTTATTTTTTGTATGCGCTTATCTTCATTATCTTTGTTATGCAGAAGCGATTTCAGTCGACGAGTCCTCAAGACCTTTATCGATTTTAATCAATCCCTCAGTGCCTAGCTCTTTTAAATGAGCTGAGTGTTATTCATTGATTTGTTGTTAATCAGCTATAACCCTTAGAATGCAAATAATTTACTGTTAATACATAATTCTGACGCAGTCTAGGCTGAGGCCGCTTCTCGAAGAATTAACGCTACTTTATTTTGCCCGGTTCTTTAACCTTCATAACGGGATGATTTGTTCCATTTGCAGTGCACGATATTTTCCTCCTTTTGGATCCAGAAGAGTTCGATTATCTGCTTCCAAACAAGGCCACCGTCGGTTTCTATATTTCGATTGATTCTGACACCGGTCAAGAGGTATCCTCTATTGTGGAGACGGAGATAAGCGCCAGATTCCTCGACATCTTTCAGCCCTCTATTGAATCTGAGGAGATATTCATTGGTGCTCACTTTCAGACTTATCTTCAAATAGGATTTTCAGACACGGTGAGTATTTAATTTGAAGGTTATTTTTTAAGGGAATGCCTCTAGTAATGCATTAAACGCCCAAAACTTTCATTCTGTCCCACTTATTTTCCTACTACCTAACACATTTCAGCTATGGAAAGACAGACGATAGGACGAACTGCAACACTAGGGAAAATAAGTTCTTATGGATACCCTACGAAGTTAGAAATAAAGACGAAAAACATTTAGTTTTTAGAGACACAATTTATAATTCAGGGTCGGATTAAAACGCTGCAATGGCTTTGCAGTCTTTGGTTACAGTTAGTTTTATCGTATGCCTGATGAGACTCATCGTAACAATTAGGTCTGGTGTAAGGTTTATGGTTCTGGAACAGGCAAAGCGTAATCGCGTCGCTTTATTAATGGACGGCTTTCCTCTGCTCACATATAGCACGGAATATTTTTCAAAAAAATAATTGACAGTAGCCTGGTGAGAACGGGTTGTGGGCGTTTAAGAGATTGAAGCGTAATTTTAATCTGCTTAAGTCAGGGAAGGGGACGCAGATGCCTGATAGTTAATTACTCGCGGAGTTCATTTTGAGCCGAGGGCGCTTGGGTTTGCATAAAGGCCCTTTGTGAACGTCAACCTGTGTCATATAACCATATGGCTATTACATTTAGCTCCTTCATATGATCTTACTACTCTTATATTATGAATGGATTAGAAGCTGTACGGACCATGAATGCTTCTGCTTTAACTGACAGAGTCCGCTGTGGAAAGGATTACTTTTACTCAACAAATTGATATCCGGGCCAATACAGTGGAGTGAGCTTACGCCAGCTTTATAATATAATAAATTGCATACTTCATACATTAAGGAGGATGTTCAAACTTCAACACAAATTGACCTGAGTTAACGAGCCATTCATCGTAGTCAGTGAAGCTGACAGTTTGAAACCCGTATTTGGCACACAAATATCTATCTATCACAATTTTTGAATAATAACTTCTATGGCGAAGCTCGTCTCTGCACATAGGCCATTTCCCGCATCCGCAAAGAATAATTGCCTTATCTAGCGTACGAGATATTTTAAACACAGTTTTGCGATTGGTTTCATACTGCTTATCGAGAACTTTGTAGGAACAGAAAAAGCCCCAAAACAGACATATCTCTTGTTCTGAACTCGGTCTTACAGCCAATCCATTCATTCCTCAGAGCACTTATTCGCCTTATGCGTGAGTAGTTTTTAGCCGGTGTTATGTTGCCTTGTGGTTCCCCTTTATAAGCCCGATCGTCATAACTCTGACGGCTGTCAAATTTACGTACAGATGAGTGATAGGACATAGATTCGCAAAGATAGTCGTTTCGGACGCATTGAACTCTCTGGGCTGACACCCGTTGATAAACGCTCACCGATCGCTAACGGAACTCAATCGTTACACTCTGCATTGGGGCTAAATCTCGATCCCCGCAGTCCCCAGCAGTCGCACAGTGGATAGCAATCGAGGCAGATAGCATCACGTTAGACTGTGATGAAAATGGTCGCGAGGTCGAGCCTCTGACGGTGTACTACTTGGGATGGGGTATGATTGACGGCCATTCCAGTTTCTCTTGTCTCTACCTGCAATACCACCTCTGGTTTGAGGTAGGATGGCATCAAGTCCGCATGACAGTTCAGCCGTCGCGAACGACAAAGATCACCATGTATCCCAAAGGAACCGATGCTTTTTGTAATTGGGCTAACGGGGAAGACAGATTTACGCAGCTCTGGCTACACCTCATCAGCCATCTTGCCCCGACGATAAGGAACTGCCCAGGTGATGTAAACGAATGAGGACGCTTTTGCTAAACAGCCCGTTTACACATTCTACTGACCTTCTGGTTGCCAAACTCGTTTCGGGGCGCATGAGCATAACGGGGATCATGCAGATGTGAGAATTTTACCTGAACCTCAGTGCGTAAATCCAGTCTGGAGGTCAGTCCTGAGGGAGACTGACTGGTCCAAAACGCGTACCGGAGTATACTGAGGACGACGGAGCTTATTTAGGGGGGGGGAGAATTTCACTACAGTCATATTGAGCGGACACATTTCAGCATGACTGACAGCCCTGAGAGGGACTGAGCCCTCCATCCGTACGGCAAAATTAAGCAGCCTTATACTACATTCACACTCCGTAAGGAATGCGTTGTTTTGCTTTAAGAGCGGATTTCCCCTTCTGGTTTTTCTTTTTAACCTCCCATTTTCATACGCCAATCAATTGTCCTGACATGGCAGGCAGCGACTGATATGATTACGTGGAGATAGTCACGCGTCTAATAGGTCTAATCGTAGGATTTAGCAGCAAACGCGTTAATGCCACCAGTTATAGATCCAATTGAAATGAGACAATCCAAAAAAGCGTACTGTATGTCAGTATAACCGGTTTTGGTCTAACGCAGCTGCAGGGCTACCCTAAGGCAAGGCATTACGTCTTCTTCTACTTCAGACTCTTATCGGTAAAAGAGAACCTTAACACGAGTTGATACTGACGTAAGCTATCGAGGTATCCTGCGCAGGTTGTATACTTTTAAATATATGCATAATTTTGCCTTTAAAAATCGTCCTACTTATTAAATTCACTGTGACAAACCAACGTTTAACAGCTTATGGAAAGAACAACAACTCCCAGCCCGTGTTCCAGCCGTATTTTTGGAGGTGGCTTAGCACCTTGCTGAATCCGCAGCCCATTTCTAAGACAAATGTTAACATCGCGAGACAGTAATACGTTGGCTTTTAGGGTTTCTTATAAAATGAAGCTCCATCATAAGATCAAACATTTAGACACTAATTGTATTCGTTACCGTGAGTACAAAAACTTTTGTGTTTTGCGAAAATATTTTTTGTATTTTAGCCAGTGGTACAGATGGCTTCTGGGTCGCATTCGTCAATGAAACTGTTCGACTTCGCAACACAGGACGAAGGTATTTGCTCACTTTTCAAATCACGAATGAAAGAGAACGTTCGCATTCCAGGTATTTCTATTGGTAAATAAGACACACGATCGAGCACTGGAACGAACTGTATTTTGTCCTGAGATTTCGGGCTCCCGCAGGAGTCCATCGTCAGAGGTGGAGAAACAGCAACAAATGGGGTGGCTCCTTGTGGCGCGTGTACAATAACTAAAATTTTGAACGTGTAGAACATCAATAATTGTGTGTTTGTGCCACCGACTTGCCACTGTGGACTGTGTTAGCCTGTGCCAGTAGGCAAGATCGACATGTTGAGTGGGAATATTTACAGAAATTGCTTGTTTTTTGTTGACGATTTTATTTCTGTCGATCTTGCCTACTGGCACAGGCTAACACAGTCCACAGTGGCAAGTCGGCGGCACAAATACAGAATTATTGATTTTCTACACGTTAAAATTTTAGTTATTGTACACACGCCACAGGGAGCCACCCCATTTGTTGCTGTTTTTCCACCTCTGACGATGGACTCCTGCCGGAGCCCGAAAGCTCTGGACAAAATACAATGCGTTCCAGTGCTCGATCGTGTGTCATCTTTATCAACTTTTTAAATCAAACCATTTTCCAGGCCTGCATACAATGCGTAGAGTCACCGAGTAAGGAAACGATTAGTAATTTCGGCAGTCAGGGAATTCACATTAATAAAAACAGGAAATTATTCCCAACCTATGAAAATATACTGTATTAGTTAACATATGTACTTATCGATTGTTTGAAATCGCGTAAAATTTCAAGAAACTGCGGTCAGTAGTATTTCCAACATGTAGTTAAATTTTATGCATTAGCAATACTTCATGAATCAGTAGTAAGCGGTCTTAAAATTGCCCCTGGTTAAAAGCATTTTGCAAACAATTACATCGTGGGATGGATTTACAACTGTGACTTTTAAAAGGATTCGGGAAGGAAGCATTTTAATTCCTACTGTTAAAATAATTATAATTAAACTTACAGAGGAGTTGAAAACCAATGAAAAAACACCAATGACATAAGCAGTTATATTTACAGAATGTGGTTTTGTTAGCTAGATGGATAGACTAAATTTCTAAAACAAGTGTCGTTTCATATGTGAGATTCTATCGCATCATGCAGCACGTTTTAGCGCTTAAGTAAATGTCAGGTCACCTAGTGTTTTAGTGCAAATTCTTTAAAAGTGGCACTCTACTTCTTCTTGGTAACGAGGGTCTTAAAGCTTGGACTGTTGGGAACGCATAGTTTATATCTAACTTTGCATTTATGACCGATAGTTACCTATTATTGGCAAAAACGTGCAAACATGATAAACAGATTATTGGAAACGCAAAGTAGGCTGTACCCCAAAAAATGTCAACCACCTGAAAATGCTTCTCGTGTCCGCGAATATGTTTAAAGATACCAGGGTCTTCATTTGAGGGAACTTAATGCGAGGGCTACATTATAAGCTATCCTCAGTTATACTCAGCAACTGTTTTGGCCATATCCGAGGATTTAAGACAACATTATTTTCCTCTTGTGCCGTTTGTGTCATTTAGCCAAACTATATGGATGACATTTAAGGTAATTGTACATTTCTTACCCCTATAAGACTACCTCACTAATGGGCACTTTGACAGGCATCAATCCTTTCTACCCATCGGTTCTCGTGTAGCCTTTAATTTTCGCTTTTACTCGTAGTCAAGAAGACGTTCCTTAAATGTCTTATTTTGGGTAGAAAAATACAAGCAAAGGCATATGCGAGCTTACTTTGGACAGAAGTTTGCTGCAGTTGAGACAGCAGGGAGCATCACGCTTCACCTAGGCTTTTTGTTCATTCTATGAGCGGTTGTTAGATATCCCACGAGACATTGCGCAAAGGCCCTAAATTTACACATTTGTAAACTTAAGGTGAATGGTGTAGTGAAAGACAGATTTTAGATTAGCGGGAATTCCACAGATATATTAACTTGAGGTTAGTTTTTCGAAACAAATGTCTATCAGTTGCATAAGGACATTTAATGAATGAGCGACCTCGGTCTCTAAAGCACCGAATTGCAGATATCAAAGCTCAAGTGTTTCTATTAAGTAAAATATATTATTTGTGGCCTGTTTTAACCCTGGGTACACTAACTTACAGACGTTCGACCCCACTTCATCGCGGAGGAATTTATCACGGTCTAGATTTTATTTTAACAAGGTCATCGTTACACCAATGTGCGAGTGACAGCTAGAGTTTCGGGAAGCAGCTAATGTTTTACAAAGCTCCTTGTGAAAGATGAATAATTCGTGATATAAAAAGCTGTTTTCAAAAACGTCTTATAAACATAGGGTGCACTGCAATGAGCAATGCTTTGGGATAAAAGACAAAAATCGCCTTCCGAGAAGAAAACTGTTTGGAGTATATAATCTAAACTGAGTTCGTGATTGATTTTATTGGAAAAAATTCACTAAACCAAGAGAACATGCAGGCTTAGTGTTCTTACGCCTGTACATACTACTTTTCACTGCAGAAGACATCACGGAAGCAGTTCTCAAACCGCGCGTCTTCAAACCCACAATCCGTTCTGTTGTTCAAGCCGTCACTCCACCTTTCAACTCGCGTCTTCTTTACCTGCAACAACCAAAAAATTTCCAACGGTCCGCCGACGCTGTCGGAAGGGCGGAACTTGTGCAGGAATGGGCCTATTTACGCCTGCTAAACGAATCAGTGGCTGCAGTCATTGAAAACCTGGCTCTGCGTTTTGGCAATCTTAGGCGCGATTTTAACGCCATGATCAACGCAATGGAAGCCCTACAGAATTCTTTTCAATCACCTTCTTCCAATGATTATCAGGTTGGTGCATTTCTCCTCCACCCCTTTCCACGTACAACCCAATTAATTTTTACTTCAACCCAACAACTGGTTTGAAAGGCTTCCGTAGATAGAGCAAAGGTCTAAAGGTGGACGCTTCTATTTCCATTCTCCACCGTATGTCAGTTTTTTTCGGATTCCTGGCATATCTCTTAAGTGTCGTATGAAGTGCTGGCATTTTTAAAAATGGAAATTATACGCGTTGCGTGCAACTACCAGCCTATTAAGCCTAAAAGAAACTCCTAAGGAAAAATCTCGGTTAGAGTAAAATGAGACTCACCTTTCTAGATGGCTGCGAAAGAATATAATTTTCTCCTACCGTCAAAGTCGCCATGTCATCTACTCGCTGGCCTAGAGATTCAACGGTTTGACTCCACTACCAACTTATAATCGGCAACGCGAGCGTTGATGTTTAAATTTCGGGACTAAATGAGCCATCTCCTTAAGTGCCACCTGTGTCTATATTAACTTTTCCTAAGAGGAAGGGGCCTGTTTTTTCATTGGCATTCGAATTATGGAATCCCGTAAAGGCCTTTGTCGATCCTGTATGACAAAGCTAATAAAGTTAACAATTAACCTTTCGATCTGATAGCTAAGTTTCGCATTCAGACACGTTTCAGTTATAGCAGGAATTATTATTTACGGCTTGTTGCCCTTTCTTTCCAGCCAAGATGCTGCAAACCTGACTGCTATATAAAGTTGCGGTTTTGTTTTGTAATCTTTAGATTTTAAGCTGACTTAGACACTTCAGTGTTTCCTGGCATAGCATCTTAAAATGTTTTCGCGTCCTAATGAACGTCAGCATTGCGAAGAAAACAGTTTTCCCATGGAAGCAAACGAAATCACCACATTTGCGCATCTTGCATTTTTATCCTGCTGCTCAAACCTTTTGCTGATCAGTTGTCTATCAATTTGCAGTTGCCTGCTTATCTTACGAGTTTCTGTTGACTGATGTGCCCATCGCAGTTAACAGTACCTTCTGAGCGCGCCGAACGCATTAGTTTTGGGCATTTTGCGTAAAACCCCGGGAAAAATCAGAGCTGACACACTGCTTAGCATGAATTTTATCTTAGTGATGAATTTTGACCTTGAGGCAATAACTTGCATTCTCGACCGCTTTTACCACGTCTGTGGGGACAAATAGAGCTGAGTAAAATGCGGTCTTCGTTTCGAAACTATCAATTCAGCAGCAAACTGTCTATATGATGCTGGGGCTTCAACAAGCATTTCCACGACGCTTTAGAGTCTCTTTCAATGATTTGATCCCATCCTTTGCATATCAACAGCACACCTTTAAAGAGTTTTATTCAAGGATAGCACTGCTCATCCTGCCAACTAAGAAATCAACGATCATTTACAGTCAAAGTAGAGGTTATGAACATTGCACAACATTTAATTATGGGCAAGATGTGACGTACGTGATCTCGACAGGTTAATTCCAAGTTTGGTTTAGCTACCAATTGCGAGGCATTTTTTCGACAGTCTCAATCGGAAAATTTCGTTCTTTTGACCAGCTAGTTGTGTTTAATTAACGTTTTTTTACTGTTCGGAATTGTCCTTTCCATGTTAAAATCTGTCATTATACTGATTTCTGCAAAATAACGTGAGAGCAATCGTATATGGTTGCATCAAGTGCAAATGGAAATTCTGATTCCTGATTTGAGAATCTCTGGCTCACGTTTTGATGCCATTGTCGTAAAATAGTTGTTACCGAATGACTGGTTAAACGTCCAGTCTCCTCACTAGTTGCCTTAAAGGCTCGGATAGCCAACTGAGATTGGAAAACAAAATTGAGTTTAACATTACAAATTTTGAATCATCGGATACCTTACTATAATGAACAGGACGCGGTTAAATCTGTCAGGGCGTCCTAAGCGATCAAAGAAGTCAATCCTTCTTGAGACTGAGGTCGAAGCTGCAACGCTTACCTTTTACTGATTTTTTGTGTCATTTTTAACATTTTAACAATACGCGCCGCCCTAAATGTAGCTTCCAGCATTTTGGGGGAACATCACCTCCTACGCGGCACGCACACCGAAAGTGAAAAGGCCGCGTGACTAAGAAGCGTCGCTAGTTTTCCCTTGCCAAAAACGAAGTTACTTTCGTGCAACGTGTACTCTGTAAGATGTAGGATAGAATTCATCTATGGCTCGGTCTAAATGTCGCAGAAGCGTTGTCCTTTTAAGCAGATTTTTCCATATCTCGATGGAATTTCCCGAGCAACTCATACGATGGAAATAACTGTAGTTCCATTTCCTCAATTTGCCATTTGCCGATGTTAAGCAATATAGTGCAAAGACTTATTGTGGCATCGAAAGCATTAAAAGATAATCGATGGATAATCGATAAGCGATCAACCCTCAGGGGCGTTGTATTATATCTGGTTCCACCGACTAAGGACGTTGCATAAGTAATAAATAGTTATAAAACTAAATTTTCCCTTGTGCACAAATCAATAAAACGATTTTCGCATACTCCACCAACTGTCAAACTCGGATTTCTCAGATTTATTTCTGTTTCCGAATTTGACGCAAAAGCCGCTTCGATAAATAACAATACCGCAAAGCAAAATGTGGAGGATTTTGATCACGATAAAGCCAAACAAATGCTGTTCTACAATTCTTTCTATATTGTCAGAGTTTCCTGCCGCCCTCCCTCCCCCCTTGGCAGCCACACAGTTTATTCAGTCAGAACTTTATCCAAGCTTATCCAAGCGCTTATGCGCACACCGTGTGTCCGCAATGGCTATGTGATAGAGTTAAATTTTACCTTCATTTTCCCCAGAAAAGGAAGAAGAAGTGGAGGCGATTCCT